TGTCAACACGTGGGATCCCCCCGCAGACAGCTACCAGCGGCAACGTTTGAACTTTTCCAGCTTGGCGCAATGGGCACTTGAACCTTTGAAGACCCCATATTATTATTATTATACAGGATTTATGGCGCCAACAGTTTGCTCGGCACTTTACAATATAACGGGAGACAATACATCAACAATACAGTTCAATACAAGAGGATTAGGAAGGCCCTGATCCTGGGAGCTTACAATCTAGGAGGGAGCGGCTGGTGGTACAAAAGGTAGTAACTGTGGGGGATGGACTGGTTGGAAGAGTAGAAGATTCCATTATTAGCTGAGAGCAGGATAGGCTTCCCTGAAGAGATCGGTTTTCAGAGATCGCCTAAAAGTGAGCAGGGTAGGCGATAGTCTGATAAATTGGGGTAGAGAGTTCCAGAGGATGGGGGAAGCTCTGGAGGAGACCTGGAGAGGAGCATGGGAGGAGGAAACCTATTGGAGCTTATTGATTCCACGTGTTGGGCTCCATTGGTCCCCTAGGCATGGTCTAGGCCCTGTTTTGCGACCGGTCACACCAACAAAGTGAGGCAGGCAGCATTTTATCAACGCGCGTGTAAGGTTCAAGGAAGGCAACGAGTGAATTTTTTTTCTCTTAAAAGCTCGCTCTGCGCCGCAATGCCGCGACGCACACGTAAAGCCATCAGAGTGCTCCGTCTCCTGCCATCGCATCTCGTGTGAACATTCCCTAAGGTACGCAGCATAGCGCGGGTAGCTTCAGATCGCCAGTAGGGACTACCCCCACCCCACTGAGGGAGCAAATACCAAAAGTAATAAAAACAACAAAAACACCAAAGGAATGTCGCCTAAATTTTGACGGTTGAACGCTCGCCCTGTATTGCTATTCTGGGACCAGCCTGCCCTATTTTTAGAAGTGGCCGGGGGTCGGTTTTTAAAATTAGCGGTTAAAGTGGGGAATAATTTGGGGGGGGGGGCCATTTTCTCAGACGACGAGCGGTTGCGGCAATTAGTCGCGGTCCTGTTTACTCCCGCGTCAAACCGACACGCGTTCGGCTGTCTAATTATTTTGTGAGCTTATGAATGCAGCGTTTGAGAGGGCGAGTTTATGAGCCTGATTTTATGAGGGTACAAGGACAAGCCATCAGCCCCCCCCCCTCTATTTTTCCCCTCGACTCTATTAACAGTTAAGGGGGGGGGATTGTGACCACCCTTACAATAAAAACCTCGAGGCTTTTAGTAGGCTATTAAAGCAGACTTCATTTCCTAGAGCGCGGAGACCCTCGTGAGACGGCCAACAATAGGGGTTTTGTTTGCTCTGCGAGAGACCTAGGCTGGGTTCTGGGTAAGGGGAGGGGGTGATAGGAGATTAATAGCACCCCCATGGGCCAGCTCCTCCTCTACACCTTTTTGTTAACCATTTTCCTTCCAGGTAGGGGACACACAAAAAAAAAAGAGCTTTATGATGGGGGGGGGGGGGGGGGAGTGGCCCGAGTCAGATCTGGTCTCAAGCCTTTAAAATGGCCTGTAATTGCGCCCGTTCCTGAAGAGGGGATTGTTCTTTTCATATTTGATCAAAAGGTTGTATTGCTTTTGTTTTGTTTTTTTTATTTTTTTGGACAAGTGCTGGCAAGCAGCAGCTAGCATTGTTGTCTATGTAAAGCCCTAGAACTCTAACTCCACACAATTCTCAATTTTGGTCGGTACCGGTGAGTCCGAAATCTTTCCAGTATGTTTTGGTGGGCATTAGGAATACACTCCTTTTACAATGATGAGATTTCCCTCGTAGTTTGAGTCTCTGCCCCTCGCACTATGGGGAGATTTCCCCCTGGGTTTGTGTCTCTGCCCTCGCACTATGGGAGATTTCCCTCGGTAGTTTGTGTCTCTGCTCCTCCCACTATAGGGAGATTTCCCTCGGTAGTTTGTCTCTGCCCCTCCCACAGTGGCGAGATTTCCCTGTAGTAGGTTTCTGCCCCTCCCACTATGGGAAGATTTCCCTGTCGCAGTTTTCTGCCCCTCCCACTATGGGAAGATTTCCCTGTCGCAGTTTTCTGCCCCTCCCACTATGGGAAGTGTTCCCTGTCGCAGTTTTCTGCCCCTCCCACATGGGAAGATTTCCCTGCAGTAGTTTTCTGTCCCTCCATATCCACTCTCCCCGGTGCGGGCCCACTATTGTGTCGGCTCTCCCCGGTGCGGGCCCACTATTGTGTCGGCTCTCCCCGGTGCGGGCCCACTATTGTGTCGGCTCTCCCCGGTGCGGGCCCACTATTGTGTCGGCTCTCCCCGGTGCGGGCCCACTATTGTGTCGGCTCTCCCCGTGTGCGGGCCCACTATTGTGTGGGCTCTCCCCGCTGCGGGCCCACTATTGTGTGGGCTCTCCCCGCTGCGGGCCCACTATTGTGTGGGCTCTCCCCCGTGCGGGCCCACTATTGTGTCGGCTCTCCCCGCTGCGGGCCCACTATTGTGTGGGCTCTCCCCGCTGCGGGCCCACTATTGTGTCGGCTCTCCCTGCGGTGCGGGCCCACTATTGTGTGGGCTCTCCCCCGCTGCGGGCCCACTATTGTGTGGGCTCTCCCCGCTGCGGGCCCACTATTGTGTGTCGGCTCTCCCCGCTGCGGGCCCACTATTGTGTGGGCTCTCCCCGCTGCGGGCCCACTATTGTGTGGGCTCTCCCCCGCTGCGGGCCCACTATTGTGTGGGCTCTCCCCCGCTGCGGGCCCACTATTGTGTCGGCTCTCCCCGCTGCGGGCCCACTTGGGTCTGAGCTGTCGGCTCTCTCCAATTTTTTTTTTTTTTTTTTTTTTTTTTTAAACTTGTGTAAAAAAAAAAAAGACTCTGGCAGCAAAAGGGATAAAGGATAAGCTGGACACGCCCCTTTTCCTGAGGAGCAGCCAATCGATGTTCATCACACTGCAAGGTCTCTCCTCCCTGCTAGTCCCCGAGTGCAGTGCTGGAGGCAGGCGGAGGGGGGAGGAGGTAAACAGCGCAATGTTTAAAATATTACACGTTTATAAAACTCCCATTTTGTTTTTAAAAGCTCCGACATTCCTAATCACCTCTGATTTACATACTTTTTTTTTTTCTTATCTGGACACGTAGATTGGGTCCTTGATTTTAGTCCCTGGACAAGTAGTTTTTTTTTTTTTTTTTTTTTTTTTTTCAAAAATTTCCGTGCCTCTGCTGTATGTAGCTTACTGAAAATATCACAGCCTTAAAACGCCTCTCCCGATCCCTCCGCCCTAATGCAGGCAGTTGGAGGAGTTGTGCCAATATGAAGATTCCTTGAAGGGTGGATGTCCATGTGGGGGGAGAGTGGGGCCTTCCTAGGCAGGCTAGGTATCACCCACATGTGATGCTGAGCCGTCATGATTGAAAGAACTGAAAACCATTGAATGAAAGGGGCGGGTCCAGAGACAGTCCAGAGGGGGAGGAGATCACTAGATGAGGCTTGACATCAGAGTAAGCCGTTTCAGTCTGAGAGGAGCCAGTACACACAGAGGGAGGATTTTAGAGAAAAAATTTGGGGGGCATTTAGATACACTTTACGGCTAGTTATGCAAAAAAATGAGGTGTCTCACCAATAATGATAGATGGTGGGACATTTTCTGTTCCTCGTTCACGTTGCTGGTGTTCTACGGCGTCGTTCTTATCAACTTGGTTCCTGATGAAGCCCCACGTGGTCCGAGATCCATGTGGCTCTCTGAAACCTCGGGTATCCTGATAATCCATTTGGCGCCTGATGAAATCCCACATATCCTGAGCACTGCCCTCCTGATGAAGCCACGGGTGTCCCAAGATCCATGCGGGTGCTGATGAAGCCTCACATCTCTTGAGAGCCACGCCTCATTGAGCCCCATCTGTCCCGAGATATTTGTGGCTCTTGAAGCTCCATATGTGCTGAGAGCTGCTCCTGATGAAGCCCAGGTGGTCTGATATCCATGTGGCTCCTGATGAAACCCGGGTGTCCCAAGAGCTGTGCTGCTCCTGATGAAGCCCCCCCCCGTGTCCCAATAGCTGTCCTGATGAAGCCCCCCTCCCCGTTTCCCCAGATCTCTTCTGATGAATCTAGCCGTACTGATGAAGCACCAGGTGTCCCAAGAGCTGCCGTGGTTTAAAATTGAAGCCTGGGCATGGAGAGGGAGACATACCTACGCCGGTGCTCTGTGCTGACCAAACCTACACCGGTGCTCTGTGCTGACCATACCTACACTGGTGCTCTATGCTGACCAAACCTACACCGGTGCTCTATGCTGACCATACCTACACCGGTGCTCTGTGCTGACCATACCTACACCGGTGCTCTGTGCTGACCATACCTACACCGGTGCTCTGTGCTGACCATACCTACACCGGTGCTCTGTGCTGACCGTACCTCCCCCGGTGCTCTACGCTGACCCGTACCTCCCCCGGTGCTCTACGCTGACCCGTACCTCCCCCGGTGCTCTACGCTGACCCGTACCTCCCCCGGTGCTCTACGCTGACCCTACCTCCCCCGGTGCTCTGACGCTGACCCGTACCTCCCCCGGTGCTCTACGCTGACCCGTACCTCCCCCGGTGCTCTACGCTGACCCGTACCTCCCCCGGTGCTCTACGCTGACCCGTACCTCCCCCGGTGCTCTACGCTAGTCAGACAGGCATGTGCTGGTGAAGAACTTGTTGACAGAAGGAGAGTGTTGACTTCATAAGTGTGCTGCTGCTTTTTATAACTAGTTAGGCTTAGCCTGGAATTCTACTTTAGGTTTCATTCAGGCCACGTAACCTTCCATCTTCATGCTCGGTTGAAATGTGGCTCCTGAATCAATTTTTGTAATTATGAATCTGCCGTTATGGGAGTTTGTTGTTGGTGTTGAGCGTCATATTTGTGTAGCTTTATGACTTGTGATTCTGTTCTAATTGTTTGTTTTTTTCTTTTTTTTTTCTCTCAATGTCCAGGCTGCAAAATCAAGGCATTGAGGGCCAAAACCAATACATACATCAAGACGCCCGTCCGGGGAGAAGAACCAGTGTTCATGGTGACTGGACGGCGAGAGGATGTGGCCATGGCAAGACGCGAGATCATTTCCGCGGCAGAACATTTCTCTATGATCAGAGCTTCCCGTAACAAAGCCGGCACTGCGTTCGGCAGCGCCCCGACCCTCCCCGGTCAAGTGACTATCCGAGTGCGAGTCCCGTACAGAGTGGTGGGTTTGGTGGTGGGACCCAAGGGCGCTACTATTAAACGGATCCAGCAGCAGACCAACACCTACATCATCACGCCAAGCCGCGACCGAGACCCCGTGTTCGAGATCACCGGGGCTCCGGGAAATGTGGAACGCGCTCGGGAGGAGATAGAAACGCACATTGCGGTACGCACCGGAAAAATCCTCGAGTACAACAACGAGAATGACTTTCTCTCCAGCAGCCCGGACTCCGGCATGGAAAACCGATACCCGGAAAGCTGGAGGGTTCACGGCACGGCAGCCGGATGCAAGCCTCTCTCGACTTTCCGGCAGAACAGCCTCGGCTGCATCGGCGACTGCCCGGCGGAACCAGTTTACGAGACGCCAAGGCTCAACGATCAAAACGAATTCAACTACGGATACCTGTTCCCCAACTACAAGCAAGAGGTGTACTACGGCGTGGCCGAAACCGGAGGTCCTATGTGGGGCGGTCAGGAGAACAACAGCTCCACGCCAAGCATTTTCACTAAGCAACAGCGTTCCGGGAGTAGCGGTACAATCCAGACCAACTCTACGCAGCGGTCTCCGGAATCTGGCCTTACTAGCTTGCCGAGGAGGAGCCAAGGGGAAGCTCTTCAAGGCTTCACCAAGATCAACGCCACTCGGACCTCCGTTTCGGGAAGCCGGGAGTGCATGGTCTGCTTCGAAAGCGAGGTCACAGCTGCACTTGTTCCCTGCGGACACAACCTCTTCTGCATGGAATGCGCCGTCCGCATCTGCGAGCGGAACGAACCCGAATGCCCCGTTTGCCATGCATCTGCCACTCAGGCTATCAGAATATTTTCTTAAGAGACGCAGGGAATGGGACTGTGGGTGGGAAAAAAAAAAATGGGTGCAAAGGTGCAGGACTTTTGTGGTGCATAGAGGTCAACAACCGATATTTAAAACTTCATCGAAAATTCTTACCGCCAATTTAACTATCAGGAACCTTTTCGATGAGAATGTGGACAACATGTTTACTGGTCAATGAAGGGGGTCACCCTTCCCAAAAATCACCGCTGTTTTTTCTGGGGAGCTCGTGCCCAAAAAAAAATCCGTCAATACCAGATGTACTTTTTTTTTTTTTTTTTTTTTTTTCTTTTTTTTTTTTTTCTTTTTTTAAATTTTTTTTTGACAGGAGAACATTGGATAAAAGCAGGTTTTTCCATCAGATGACATATTTTAGTTGTGGATAAAAATAAAAAAGATGTTGAGCGGATAATAAGAACAGAGTTGATTAAAGAGGAACAAAAAATTTTTTTGATGCAGTCCAAACCTTTGAACGTCCCTCCTATTCTGTTGCTGGATGTTGGGACAGACGGGGGCGCTGTTCTCGCGAAGAAAGGGACCACGTGTACCTAAAGCCTGATCTCTACAACATCTAGAGTTTCGTCAGTTCAGCGGTCGCGTTTTTTCTCCCGCGTGTGCTGTTCTCATTCTCCTCTTCAGAATTAAAAGCGGGCAGCTTTTAGCAGAAGGGCTAAATCGAGGATTATTTGGACGAAGCGTTTTACGGGCACTCAGGGGTACTTTTTTTAGCCAGGTCGAAAAATTAAAAAAAAAAAATATTTTAGGCATTTGCAGGGCCCCTCCTCCTGCGCCCAACAATGCCTTTCTGCCTGGCTACAGGAATCTGTTTTATCATTATTTTTTTATTTTTTTTTTTTTAACTAGCAAAAAAAAAATACAAAAAAAAAAAACTGTACGTATCAAACTCTGGGAACCTGCAACATTGAGGACACAACACTTACCTCACGCTCAACAAAAATGCAGCTTAATCTACCGTTTGTAATCTTAACTGTCATTTGCTGATTTTTTTTATTATTTTTTTTTCAGTTTTTAATTTTTATTTTCAGTTGAAAAAATAAAATATGCCGGGATTCAATTTTAAGCACCACAAAAAAAATTACAACGAAAAAACAAAAACCACACAACTATCAGGACTTATGCATGGAGGTCTTGCTTTTTTCTTTTTGTAGGAAAATGAAATGAAAAGACATACGGGGGGGGGGGGGGCAGGGGGGGGAACGTTACTGATTTTTGCTGCTGTGCACTGAATTCGAGGCACCAAAAACGGCGGTCCTCTTTTATCTCAGACAACTGCCGCTGAACCTGCCAGGTGTCTATGGCCATCTGAACAAGCAAAAGCAGTTTTCTTTTTTGTTTTTTTAAGCAGGAGAGCACTGAGATGATGGAACGGAGGAACACTTCCAATTGTGTCCACGGGACGTTTTTTTTTTTTTTTTTTCCTCCTGAATGCAAAGAATAATAAAAAAAATTATAACAAAGTTATTTTCTTCCTTATAACTGGACAAGACAGAACATTTTAATGATAATGCAGATACGTTGGACCAAAGTTTCACGTGCTGGAAAAAAAAAAAAAATTGTTTTAGATTGTGCCATGTGTTCAAACTCCAGCCTTTGATGTGTTAGGGTCTCCTACTGCTCTTCGGATCAAATTTTAACGGGACGACAGTCAAACCAGAGAGGGTTGCGATACAAAAGACTGCACCCCGTCGTATTGCTCATCTCATCCAATATTTTTTTTTTTTTTTTTTTTTATTTCTCTCAGCCCTACCCAGTTAGATCAGGGTTGGTTTAATCCAAAATTTGGTGCTTCCTGGATGATGCCATCCCCTTTTTTATATATTTTTTTTTTTTTTCCATTGGTACAACACTAGATCATGGCATTTTCTCAAAGTTTCAAAACTCGTGTTCTATGAACTCTAAAATACCATTTTTTTTAATTTTTTTTTTTTTTTTTGGGTATCTGAGGATTCCAAAAAAATGTCCTTGTGCCATCATCCAGTGGTGGTGTGTTCCATTTCAACCCTTCCCTGGTCAAAGGAGGACCTGTTCTTCTTTTATTACACATTGGCGGGCCTCCTTTCAAACCGCACCTGTGAAAAAAACGCTTCCCATTAGAATCGCTCTACTTTGCATCTGATGCATCCGAATGGGGGGGGGGGGGGGGGGGGGGCAAGGGATGTGCAGCTTCCCCATTCCCCAAGGAAGAAAAAAAAACAATTACCGATATTCTTTAACATGGATTTTTATGGGAAAACAAAGTTCACCCAAATATTTCAAAAAAGAAAAAAGTATACTTTCGACATTTTTTTATATATATAATTTTAATGTATGGTTTTAAATGTATGTAGCACTCTTTATAGCTTATTACGGATTAGCAGTATTTTTTGTTGTTTTTTTTTTTTTAATTTAAATCAAATGTAGCAATTTTACTTTTTATGATGAAAAATTACAAAAGGGACCTAATGGAAATAATATTTCAGGTCAGTCTCGGTGGGAACTGCTCAGTCAGGTCTCGTAGGACAGGATAGGCTCGAGATGGGACTGTTTTTTTTTATGACTGCATGAGTCTACATTGTCAAAGAGTTTGGTTGAATTTTTATTTAATTCCGCTCTCAAAGCTTCTAAGGTCTTTTTTTTTTTATTTAAAAAAAAAAAAAGAAAAAGAGACAAAAAAAAAAAAAAAAAAAACCTTCGGTGGGAATGTATTTACTGCACTGAAGGGTTTAACAGTTAACTACCAGTCTTACAAAAGTTGTAAAGCTCGCTTACTCGTTCATAACCAACTACAACACCTCCAGGGTTGGTCAACCTTTTACGTTCTTGCATACTCCTTCCAATGGTTGTTACATTTCATGAGAAAAGCACTTTTTTTTTTGGATAAATTTGGTTCCATGGAGATATTGGAGGAAGTTTGTGAGATAGTCCAGCGGCTTCCCTCACCTGGGCCGTTCTCTCTCTAGACTGCGGTGGTAGACCCCTTCATGGATGGTCTCCTTCCATCAACATCGTTGGATTGGTGAGGAGATGACTCTGTAGACCTGTCTTGACCATTCCCTATACATGCCTTGAGTTTTTTGGGGGGTTTTCGGGAGAAAAGGTTCCTGTTGTTTGGTATGTGATGGAACCGGCTATTTCTTCCAGCTCCAAGGCAGTTGAACCTTTCTTTGAGTCGCTGGCCAACCACGAGAGGGATTTTGAGTTGACTGATGGCTAACCCTCTCAGAAGATTTTCGCGGTGCTGTACGTTTTTTTTTGGTCTCACGGTTGGTTTGAGGTGACCTTTTTTATTTCTTTATTGAAACACGGGTTGTTGAGAAAGTCATGAAGGGTTTTGGCGCTAACCACATTCTACTACGGCTGATCTCTTCCACGAAGAGTAATCGGGTTGAGTTGAGGGTGAAGGTGCAGCTGATGTAGACCTGGATAGAAACAAGGACCATCTACCAGCCTATTCATTGGTTAGAGGAAACCGAAAGAGCTGAATCGTATCAACGAGCCTCGTGATCACCATTCTAAATGAGATGCATTCTCGGTGATTTCGCTGATCTCTGATTTGGATAGGCTACATCCTCGGTGATGTCACCAGTCTCTAGTGATTGGAATAGTCGGCATTCTTAGTGATGTCATTGGTCTCTGATGATTGGATAGGCTGCATTCCTAATTATGTGACTGCTCTCTAGTGAATGGATAGGCTGGGTTCTCAGTGATGTCACCAGCCTCTTAATAATCGGATAGGCTACATCCTTGGTGATGTCACCACTCCCTAGTGAATGGATAGGTTGCATTCTCAGTGATGTCACCAGCCTCTAATAATGGATAGGCTACATTCTCAATGTCACCAGCCTCTAATAATTGGATAGGCTACATACTCGGTGATGTCACCACTCTCTAGTGAATGGATAGGCTGTATTCTCAGTGATCTCACCAGTCTCTAACATTTGCATAGGCTTCATCCTCGATAATGTCACCAGCCTCTAATAATTGGATAGGTTACATCATTGGTGATGTCATCATCAGTCTAGTGAATAGGCTGCGTTCTCAGTGATGTCATGCCACCAGCCTCTAATAATTGGATAGGCTACAGGCTGACATCCTTGGTGGTGATGCCACCAGTCTCTAATAATTGGATAGGCTACATCCTTGCATCCTCATTGGATAGGCTACATCCTTGGTGTCACCAGTCTCTAATAATTGGATAGGCTACATGCGGTGATCCTCTAATAATTGGATAGGTGATGTCACCAGTCTAATAATTGGATAGGTAGTGAGTCTCTAGTGAAGGGATAGCCTGCGCAGTGATGTAGCCTCAGCTACATCCTTGGTGATGTCACCACTCTAATAATTGGATAGGCTACATCCTTGGTGATGGATAGGCTACATGCCTTAGTGATATCACTGGTCTTCAATAGATAAGGATAACAACCTCAGTGGTGACAGTCACTGGTAGGCTCTAGGAAATGTATGGACCTGCGTTCTCGGTGATGTTTCCCGCTACAGCCTTAGTGATATAAACTGGTCCCCAATAGATAAGTAACAACCTCGGTGGATAGCTGCATTTTGAGTGATCTCAAGAGCCTGAACAGCTAGACTGCATTATGGGCGATGTGACCGTCCTGTAGTAAATGGTTAGGCCGTATTACGAGTGACACCACCGGCCTAGAGTGAATGGTTAGGCTATGTTCTCAGATATTCATTCGGTTCCTAGTGGATGGATAAACTACATATCGCCTGTATCCAGTGAATAGACCACATCCTCAGTGATGTCACCAATATCCACTCAGTTGATCGGTTGCATCCTCCACAATCTCCTAAGTATCTGTCGAATTGATAGTCTGCCTTCCAATCGATGTCTCCGGGGTGTGGTGAAGAGCCAGGCTGCATTTTCACTTTTCTCGGTGGTATTACCGATCTTTGGTGAATGGATAGGCTTTCTTTCTTGGTGGTATCACCGATCTTTGGTGAACGGATAGGCTGCCTTTCTTGCTATCACCGATCTTTGG